GCAAGATTTTCAACCACAATCTTAAATTTCAGTGCACAACTTACTGTCTGCCCACGCAGCTCTGCTCTGTCCATTTTCACAGTGACGATCAGGGCTCCATTCTGCATTTTCAGCTCCACAGATTCTCTTTCCTGACACAGTCCGCAGCCTGCGAGCTGGCAGGTTTCTGATATTATCCAGTTCTAGACACTCGGCCATATTCCCCATAAAAGCACCAGGCTAGCGCTTCAGACACTCAGTAACGAGCCGTTACTCAGAAACGGTACGTTCTGCAGAATGTGGCCGCTGATCTTCCCGTTGTCTTCGGATCCCCGGTCTATGACACTGAGCAGACCGACCATCGTCCCAGCTGCAGTGTCTTCCCCGATAGGATTAGAAAGGGAATTTACCGTCACTGCTGGGACATTGCCATTGCCATTCACAACCTTTACAAGAACTGCAATGGGATGCCAATAGTAACTGACTTTCCTCCCGCGCCTGCACTTCCACATCATATTCTGCACCTTCTCTCAAAATCCACCCCCCACCCCCTTCCAGTATCTGCCCGGTATCACGCTCGGTAGAAAATAGTCTCTGCACTTCAGGTGCAGAGTTAGTGCCCAAAGTGTACTCTTTTCTTCCATTCAAATACATCAGTAGCATTCAGCTGAATAATCAATACGTCTTTGACCACATCCTCCGCTCGTCTGGCAGCGTAGCTGTTTTAACCAAGCACGGGACCGGCAGCGTTGGAATCCAGCACACCGATGCAGACGTATCTTTGGGAAATCCCGTTGTCTTCGCTTTTACAGTGATATTTTGGATCGGCTCTTGTTCTCCCTGCAGTGACTTTTGTAACACTAACATTGGGATTTTATTCCATTCACGACACGTATGTACTTTTAAAGCAAATGCTCACTTCTCCTAAGTTTGTAAGGGGCCAAAGAAGTATTCCCAACATCCGGATCGTGAGAGGCGACTGGTGGGAACACCGTGCCAGGCATTGCTGCCTCAGCTCCTGGGAGCGATACTTCTCCACTCTGGAGAAATCTGCTCGAGCTGTCATTTGTAACCAGGACTGCCAGCCGACAATAGTGTAGGAGAGAGGATTTTCAATGACAAGCTCAAATTTCATCTGACAGCTTCCTGTTCGCCCACATAGCTCTCCTCTGTCCATCGTCTCACTGACAATAAGGGCCCCATTCTGCAAATTCACTTCTCCAAGCTTTCGTTCAGTTCCCTGCACAAAACACGATCCGCCGCAGCGAGGAGACATGTTTGATACCCAGCCCCAGCTCATCGGCAATAACCCCTATACTAAAGGTACCAGGCTCTAATTCGCGGGAACCGAATAGCATCTACAGTACCGAACAGCATCCCATCCAGCGATTGCAGAACAAAAGCAGAACAGGTTAGAAAGAAAGGAAAGAAGGGCTATTTCCGAACCCGATACCTGCTTTCATTTATCCCCTTCATAGTGTCAACCTTCTCCACAAATAAAGCCTTGTTCAGTATCTTCTGCCGAAGAACAAGACTATTTCAGATTTCAGTGGAATGCTTTTGTATAACTCAATTGCGAAAAGCTAACATCGAGTCTTTTTCCTTGTTTTTCCCTTTGTCATCCGTTCCCACAGGAAAAATCCCTTCCGTGTTTGCCTTTACTAGAAGAGTGTTCTGCAGTAGGGAAAGCTAGTATGATAGTGATGGACAGCAGCGACAGCTTGAGTCTAAATGGATTATTACAGCGAATGTGTTGATTCTATCAAAAAGGCAATAGTTTTTAAAAATTATCAGTTAGCATTTGATTTTAATTTCATCCATCTACTAGCAGTATTCAAAAAGCAAAGAATCACAGAGTCAAACGCCAGAGGGGGCAACCAGGTCTTCTAGTGTGACCTCCTGTGTATCACAGGCCACCAGCACCACCCAGCACCCACACACTAAACACAACAGCCAAAATTAGAGCAAAGTATTACAGCCCACTTAAAACTAAACAATTATTTGCTACAGGGAGAGAATAGGAGGGACTGAGGGGCACTGATGTTCAAGGAATCACACTGCAATGATAGATACCCCTAGAGTGGTAGATCTGACTCTCTGCGATACCTGGAGAGAGATTATATAGCTGTAAATACTATAGAAATATATATAGAACACATGTGTGACCTTACCTAGTTCAAATATGATCATGTAGATCATTGTTTGCAACCACAGTTATATATTTGCAACCCATCTTGTGTAAAATGTGGCATGTAAGATGTCTGCGGAAAGGTTATGAGTCTGGGTCTATGATTCCCTTATCTGTAATCATGTATTCCTTTTTGTATTGGAAATTATGACAGTGGCTCCTGAACCTGGTTTTCAAATGTTTGCTCCTCGTCAGTGCTTGCTCATGAAGCAGTTAGCAAAGCACATCTAGGAGGGGACTATTCAAATTGAGTGGCTCGTCAAAAGGACATAACTCACAACGGACCATAGTGAAGACACCCCTC